GATTTTGACCCACGCCAAGCGTGGGATTAAGTTATTAAATATATTTTTAATTGATTTTAATATTTAAATGTATATGACAAATCATATTATTTTTAATATTTATAACCTTACAAAATGATATGCACTGTGCATTAATGTAATCAAGTTAAATTTTAATCAAACAATACAATTAGTTTTCATATTTTATTGTATAAAATTGATCAAAACATATGAACATTTATTTATTTCAATATAGTGTAAGTGTAAAATTAATTTTTATTATTCGTGTAAATTATAGAGCATGCGATAAATTTTAGATTTTTATGAAATTGGCAGACATAACAAACAAAAAAACAATATATATTTCCAATAATGAAATATGTAAATATTTAAATATTTATAAGTATAGCTATATATATATAATACACTATCATAATTAAAATATAAATATATCATATTAATCTAAATAAATATATACACAATAAATAATATTGTCTCAATAAATAATAATAAAAAGGTTTTTAATATATAAAAAAATATTATATGGCAAAATCTAAGTAATACATTTAGTTGAACTTATATTTGTAAAACATGTATTAATGAGCTTATGTTATAAAATTAATAAGAATATGTATAGATTTCCAATATGACATATAGTTTCAATTAAAATATTCTTATTGGTTAATTTAAGTTATATGTTCCTTAAAATCCTCATTGAGTGACACATATGATTTTCACTTTAATGTCTCCCCAATTAATATATTGAGGATTTTCGTTTCCTACAGTTTATTTTTTGTTAAAGCATTTAAATTAGTTTAATATGGAAGTTAATTAAGATTTTAGAGTTGACCATTCACATGTTCCTCACCAAAACTAAAGTGAAATTGTATTTATCAACTTATGGTGAGGGTGTAATATTAAAGCATATCGATATCTATTAGTAACATTTTTATGACATGTTTTATGATAATAATTGGTGTAAATTAAATTTTAATCTATGCTTTTAAAAATCTCGAACAAATTAGTAACTATATTTTTACTAATTTAAATTAAATTTAAAAATAATGAAGAAATATTAAAAACAAATGCTACTAAATATTTCTACAACAAATGCCCCCCCCCCTCA